AAATGATTATTGACAATTTTGAATTGTCAGTTTCAACAACATGTTTACTCATCTGGAATAAGTGTTTTGAAATGTAAAAACATAACAATTAATGTTTATAATAAATAGTATTGTTTCTCTGTAAGTAGATAGCACTTTTTCTTTTGTATTGTTGCTCGTTTCAATAAATTAAGTCTGTTCTGATTAGGCTAAAAATGCGTTACGTAATGAAACCAGTGCGGTAATGAACTTCATTACGTAACTTAAATCACCTCAAATGAGTGCGGTAATGATGACTTATCCAAGCAGTCGTAGATAAAATAATTTTACTGCCATATACCAGATTTTAATGCGACTTGGTACTTTATCAAATTTAAAAAGATAAAATAGAAAATAAGATCCACATGTTAAGAGATACCTCAAGATCTTTTATACAGCGCATTAATGCTTGTAGAAGAGAAAATGAGCGGCATTTTGAACAACTCCTAAACATTAATTAAATTAATACCTACTTGTTGAGCAACGTTTAGTAATTGTTTATAGTTTGTTCAAATAATTTAGTAATTAAAAATGGGATTTATTGTTCTGTCATTTAATTGTATTTTTATCACTTTTGATTATTTAATTATTAAAGTTTTCCTTAAATTGTATTTTAATATAATATTACTGATTTACAAATGACAAACAAAAAAAAGTGACAAAAAAAGGACAGAATATATTACTTTCTGTCACTTTTTAAGTACAATAATGACATTTTATTACACATTTTTCGTTAAATTCTAAATATCAGGAAAACTATTAAAGTTAGACACATGACATACTTATTATTAATTAAAGGTAACTTGATGAGCAATTCAACTAGCACACAATATACAGAGTGTTCCATTTAAAAAACTTAAGAAAAAGCGATTTGAAAAACATCAAAAGTAACTAAGCTTTATAAACAGCCTGTATAGTGTATCTAATATCTTTGAATACTATCATCTATCTACTGGGTTTGACTATTGTCTGACGTAGTTTCAAGGCAAAATCGAAAAAAAATCTCGTTTTTACATCGTTTTTAAAAAGATCCTGTAATGGGCACATTTTGGAAGAACAATAATATCTTAGAAACTATGAACGCTGTGAAATAGTAACAAATACGGTTATATAAACAAATTCAGTTGTATTCATAATATGATAAAATAAACAGGGTGTTATTAAATTTAAAAAAATTGACGTACCCTCCGTTACGCTTAAATGGAACACCCTGTATAAGTTAAAATAATTTTACGTAATAGAAAGTGATGAGTCAAACATCTTTTATACTAATAACTCACCCTGTATAATGACTTAGCGCTATCTAACGCTATTTAGCATGAGTTACTAGAACTCATATTAGATCTAGAACTAGAAACATTTGGGTTTAGCCTTGCGTCTAGTTCTAGCTCTAGTGTTAATTCACAAAAAATATACAACATCTTGGCGGTGAATAACAAGTAAAACTAGAACTAACACTAGATCTAGAACGTCGCGAATTTTTCTAGTTCTAGGGTTAGTTCTAGTTTATTACAAGTATATGTATAACAACCTAGCACCATCTAGTGCTATTTAGCATAAGCTAGCATTGCTATCAGAACTCACACTAGATCTAGAACTAGAAGCATTCGGGTTTAGCCATACGTCTATTAAGACGACTAAACCAGAATGTTTCTAGTTCTAGTGTTAGTTCTAAGGGTAAAAAAGAGTAAATTACTTATATCGAAGTTTTACAGTATTATGAAACTCCCTTTTCTATAATGATTGATCTGTTATTCATCTCTGAGTCCTTAACTTACAACTATGAATAAATAGATTATTTCCTCTCCAAATGTTAGTCTTTATATAAACCACATAATATGGTTTTGCAAATTATGATAATTTTGATTTTTTTCGTGATGAGGTAGTCGCAAAAAACAGCGGAATTCTCGAAAAAATCATCAACGCGATGCCAAAATATTACCTTCCAAAATTTTTTAATAATCATAACTCAAAAAATAGTTCAAGACTTTACAGATTTAAGTCGTGGTTACCGCAAAATACTATTCAAATCATTGATTCTTAGAACGTTTGGACTGTTTAGTCATAAAGGTAAGAGATCAGCCAGAGGCATCCATCACACATGGGAGAGGAAAATTCTTAGGCTCAATTTGGGATGGTGTTAAAGATACAATTATATGATGAGTCATTCCTTACAGCTAAAGCAAGGAAGGCCAGAAGCAGTAGAGTTACTAGAAAAACCTACCTTCTGGCATTCAATATTTTCAGTTATAATGGCATAACAAAAGTATGGAGAAAGAAAAACGAAGAGATGAATAAAAACAATTTGAAAGCTGCACTATTATATGAATGGCAGAGTATTTCAACAGAAATTACAGCTATATAATATGTATAAGAGTAACCTACTGTATGTAGACGTTTTTGAGTTAAAGATATGATTATGTTTTGTGTTCTCCATGATTAATAATAACTTTTAATAAGTTTTTATGTAAAATATGGAAATAATAACAGACTTCTTACATCTTTTGTTGAAAAATTTCATTGAATTACATTTTGGAAGCTGAGATATTATCATTTTTTGGGATGTATGTGCTTTATTGGTATGTATGGGTGGAAGGGTTCAGAACTCTTTGGAACTACAGAACTCTTAATCCAAAACAGGCCTATTAATTTAAGCTTATTTTTGAATTTTTCTTACTTGTATTGATGGTTTAAATTGCAATATAAACCAATAAATTTAGTTTAACCAAAAATTAATGCATTATTTAATATATGTGTATGGTAGAGTACTGCATGAGTACATAAAAAGTGCTCTAGTACATGGTAACCATGGCAACTATCTCTTAGATTTAGATAGTTATCAAAAAGTGGGCTTAAATGATTCAAAAAGAAATAAAAATGTGTTTAGTTTTCAATAATAATGTTTGGTAGACTTTTCTTTAAATAAAAAAATAAGTTTGATACCTGTGAAGATGAGTTGGTGCCTTATTCATGAGGGTATAATATTGCCTCACAAGTTCGCGGCCGACGCTATCGGGGGACGGGGGTGCCTCCATGACCATGACAGAACTTGGAAGTTAAGTACCAGGGGGGCTGTCAGGCGATTATACGCAAAGGCTCCAGCTGGCGAAGTGTTATAGGGAGGATTTGAAGATTAAAACGTTGTTGCTGTTGTTACGAATCTGAAATTAATTATAAAAAAAAAATGTTAATACCATTATTTATACAAAAAAACATTAAAAATAGGTAAAATTACTAAAGATTAAAGTCCAAAATTTGTGATAGAACTAAAATTGAGATTTTTATAAGAAAAAATCGCGAACTACGACGCCATCTATATTGTACAAATACCCAAAAAAAAAAGAAGATAGTTTTTTTTTCAATATTTACCCCAAAAAAACTAATTAATATAAAAAAATAAAAATAAAATTGGAAAGAAAGAATGCACGTGCAAAAAAACCGCACGTGGGATTATTTACTAAACGATCAAAGATAGAAAAAATCGTGCCCAAACAAAGAGGTTCGTAAAACCACATGGACTTAAACCGAGTTAGAACGATAACCGAATCCCGTCCGATGAATACTTTTGCGATCCCCACGGATCGTATGAATCAAAAACGAATATTTGCTGTCTATATTTTGAGTTGCACGTGTGAATTTCGGTGCGGTTTCGTCGAAAGACGCTCGAAAGCCGATGGTTAAAAAACGTTAATGAAACGAAACGTCAAAAATAGACTTACCTGTGACCGGCCCCGATATCAGGCTCGCCGGGTGTTCATCAAAAGCTGCGTAATAAATCGAATTTAAACGGCTGCGAGAAAGATTTGTAGTATTTTTTGTGTAGAAATGCCGCAAAAAGAACGGATCTAAACTTCATAAATTGTCGTTGATACTGTGCGACTGCGGAACGTCTTGTGGGAGGGCGCTGGTTGTACAAAATTTAATCTCGTACCCAAAACGTTTTTTCTAGAATGTCACTAAATGGGTGGGGTTCGAGATTAACAATGATACCAATACACTAAAAAATAAAGTTACTAAATTTTTATATAACAAAAATTAAACAATTTTATTACTAAATTTAATAATTATTGTCGAAATATTAAATAAAACAATTATTGATTGGACATCAGAATATTTATTACGTTTTCTTTATGATACTGGACTATGTACACATATAAGTTTATTATTTATTTTTGTATTATTATTTAAACACGAAAAGTATGAGAGTTCAAACGTTATCATACAATTAATTATACGAAAAAACTTATACTAGCGGAATAGAAAATAATGAATTTTATTTTAAATGAAATAACTCCTCGGATTTTTCTTTGTTTTCATTGATTCAATTAATTAATAACTTGATACTACAAAAATATAAAAATAACGCTTAAAAAAATCTTCTAACGCTCTTAAATTATACAAGAAAAAACTCTATACATATTACTAAGGGATGGGTAATAAAGTAAAAGAGACAATATATTGTTAGTTTAATTTAAACTTAAATTGTTTCCTTTTTGCGGCTTCTTCTTTAAATAAACATTAATTAATTGCTATTGAGACTTGATATGAAAAGATGAGATGAGGAAAACACCTGCAAAAAATTAAAAAAACAATTAATTTAACATAATAAACAATACTTAAAGATTATTAACAAAAATTATTAATCAGTGTGGTTAAATCTTCACGTTTTAAAATCAGTAGCAGAACTGGATAATAATTTCATCATTATAAATAATTCTAATTAGTTTAATTAATAATTAAAGCATTCAGGAAATAATTGCATATAAACAGTTTAGGAATTGATATATTTGGTAAATATTTTCAAAAAACTACGTCATTGTAGATAAAAATAATTATTTTTTTATAAAATTAAAAAAATATTTACAAACTAAACCTAATATCAAATCAAAAAGAAGGAAATTCGTAAGGAATGCGACATGAAAGATGCGCTCATGCAGGAGATTCTGAAACGAGCACTCAAGAATGAATACTGACGACCAGGATTGTCAAAGAAATGCAAAAATTTGAAACTGTCCAAAGTGAAACACCTCATAAGCTTTCCTGAGACGATTTCATTGTTAAAAAAAAACCATTAGTGTTCTTGTTAAATTTACTTTTGCAGAAAACGAGAATCTTCATAAAAGGCAAAATTTACAATTAACATAATTTTGGATTTCAATAAGAGATGAATATAACCCCTTCTAATCTGTTGTAACTTAAGCCCTCCAAAGGTTTTTGACAAATGCAGGTCTGGTTATGGAAAAGGTGGTATTTTAGGAGCGTCAGGAAACCTTTGCTGAGATATAAAACTGCGAAGTTATGTTATATTAGGTTTTTTCCAGCCTTTGAGGCCTCTCAATTATTAATTGCCTGTTTTAAGTGGCTTTTTTGTAGTCCACAGTTGGGTTGGGGTCCAATAAAGGGCGTTTTGAGCTAAAATTAACGTGGAATAGGAAATGAAGTGTCTAATTTAATTCTATGATATAAAATAAATAATATAGAGATGAATATAACCCCTTATAACCTATTGTAACTTAAGCCCTCCAAAGGCTTATGACAAATGCAGGTCCTTGTTGAACCTTAGTATTGCTCCAAGGTCTGGTTATGGAAGAGGTGGACTTTTAGGAGCCTTTGCTGCGATATAAAACTGCGGAGTTATGTTATATTAGGTTTTTTCCAGCCTTTGAGCCCTCCCAACTATTAATTGCCTGTATTAAGTGTTTTTTTGTAGTCCACAGTTGGCTTGGGGTCCAATAAAGGGCGTTTTCGCTAAAATTTAAGCTAAAATTAACGTGGAATAGGAAATGAAGTGTCTAATTTAATTCTATGATATAAAATAAATAATATAGAGATGAATATAACCCCTTATAACCTATTGTAACTTAAGCCCTCCAAAGGTTTATGACAAACGCAGGTTCTAGTTGAACCTTAATATTGCTCCAAGGTCTGGTTATGGAAGAGGTGGTATTTTAGGAGCCTTTGCTGAGATATAAAACAGCAGAGTTATGTTATATTAGGTTTTTTCCAGCCTTTGAGACCTCCCAACTATTAATTGCCTGTTTTAAGTGGCTTTTTTGTAGTTCACAGTTGGGTTGGGGTCCAATAAAGGGCGTTTTCGCTAAGTTTTGAGCTAAAATTAACGTGGAATAGGAAATGAAGTGTCTAATTTAATTCTATGATATAAAATAAATAATATAGAGATGAATATAACCCCTTATAATCTATTGTAATTTAAGCCCTCCAAAGTCTTATGACAAATGCAGGTCCTTGTTGAACCTTAGTATTGCTCCAAGGTCTGGTTATGGAAGAGGTGGTATTTTAGGAGCGCCAGGAAACCTATAAAACTGTGGAGTTATGTTATATTAGGCTTTTTCCAGCCTTTGAGGCCTCCCAACTATTAATTGCCTGTATTAAGTGGTTTTTTTGTAGTCCACAGTTGGGTTGGGGTCCAATAAAGGGCGTTTTCGCTAAGTTTTGAGCTAAAATTAACGTGGAATAGGAAATGAAGTGTCTAATTTAATTCTATGATATAAAATAAATAATATATGCAATGATTGCAGTGGATAAGGTTGCCATCAATCAAATTATTAATTTAATAATAAGTAATAACAAACTTTAGCGCCGATTTTTGTTCACCAAACTGAAATGCCTTTATTTTATGAATGTTATTAACTAATGGTTAAAAAAATCTAGAGTATCAGATTTTATATATTTTATTTATAAAACTTAAATTAAACGAAAAATAAAATCATAACCCTCTAGGTCTTTTTTATTCATTATGATGTTTATGATAAATATAAAAATCATACATACCTATGAAAAAAAACAAAAAAATAATAAAAACATCACAACTTTCTCTTATTTTTCTCGAAAATTATTAATAGGGTTGATGCCGTTGGTTGCGGCCACCACCACCGCCGCCGCCGCCGCCGCCTCCACCCCTCTGTTTACCGCCCGTATAACCTCCGCCGCCTCCAGTTCCTGAAAATGCAGCGCATTTATCTTTTAATTTTTTTCTTTTGCCGAAATGAAAGAAAAACAAAAAAAAAAAAACGTAATAAGAAAAGAACGAAGTACTAGAAAAAACATAGAAAAACGTAAAAAAATTAGATTCACTCTATCTATATGAAACAAAAAAACTATTTTTTCCTTGTAACTTTTACTGATTATTATTTATTTAAAGTTTTATATCTTTTTTGATTGTTTTTTGGTATGTACCTTTGCCGCGAGAACCGCTTCGTCCGCCACCGTAGCCGCCTTCGTTGTTACCGTAACCATAGTCTGTTCAGCACGCGCAAAACAAAATGAGATTATTAATCTTGTTTCTTACTTTCTTAGAAATCTTTTTTATTTTTTAATCTTTAAAAATGAAAAAAAAGAAATTTTTTTAGTGTGTTCTGAAAACTTACTTTGAGAATTTCTTTTGTATCATGCCAAATTAAAAAAAAGGAACTAGGAGAAATAAAAATGACAGGAAAACATTATGAAATCATCAATCGTTTTTTTAAACAGAAACGCTTTATTCAAGCCTCAAAAATATTTCACAATGTGTTCCCATAATAATTAAGTAATTATAAAGGTTCAACATGCAAAAAAACTATTAAAACGTCGTTAAATCTATCTATCTACATATAAATCTATATGTATATACGTATATATACGCGAATATTTATATATATATTTATATCTTTTTTAGGAACAAACAGGGGTCTTGTTCAAGTCCTTTTTTTCCTTGTTTGTAAATAGATCTATTCCTGTTTTTTTACTGTGTGGTATGTGCAAATACTCTTTGAAAAAAATTAAAAATGGCAAAAATACATTTATGATAATAAACTTTTAAATTTAGTTACGATTCAAAAAGAGAACACAACTAAGAGCTCTCTACACGTTGGCATGCAGTAACGGCGCAGACGGCAGCAGGCCCTCAACAAAAAAATAACCAAATAAAAACAGAACCAAAAAATCAAACCAACATTTTTTTAAAAGGCAAATAAAATTGAAGAAAAAAAAAAATAAAAGACAAGAAAGTTTAATCGAGAGAATATATAAATTAAAATTAACATTAAAAAAATATTAAAGAAAAAAATATTTATGCTCTCGATAAAACAAAATAAAATTAAATACATGGGGGGGGAGAATCAAATCAAGAAAAACTTCTACTGAACGCCAACGGGTAAAAGCGAACCCAAATTAAAAAAAAAACATAACCTCAGTAATGTCTTTCAACAATTTCTTAAGAAAAAAATTGATTTTTATTACTACCGCGCGCGAATATTCACTTTACTTTTCTTAATAGTGCCTGCTGTTAGAGTATTTACCATAATTCCCATAGTTGCTATAGTCATATCCGCCGTAGCCGCCGTAACCGCCACCGTAGTAATCGTATCCGCCGCCAGTACCGTAACCACCGTCGTAGCCACCGCCGCCGCCCCCTCCGTAACCACCCTGGCCGTACCCTCCGTACGCGCCGTAACCTTGATTTCCACCCCAATTTTGATTACTACCATAGCCGCCACCTCTTCCTCGTCCGCGACCACCTCCGCGTCCTCCCATTCTTCCACCACCACGAATATTACCCATCGCATCCGGTTTCGGTGTTGCTTTTTTCACATCAACCTAAAAATAAAATTATAAATTAATTCCTTGAAATTTATCAAATTTAGTATTAAATTAATATCGTTTTAATGTCAGTGTGGTAATATCTTCATTTTAAGTTCAGTAGCAGAACTGGATAGTTGATTTCATCATATATAAAGTAATTGTAAAGATATCAGCTATGAAATGAGTAAGTTAAGATTACTTAGATTATTGAAGTACCGCGATTTGCCACCATTTTAGCTCCAAAATCAAGCGGGAAATTTAAAACAATGTCGTTCTGTTCATAAAATTACGACAAATTTTCATTCATTTTTTTTTTCTCGTGGTACTCCGAAGAGTCGTTCCTTCTTACTGCTATTTTTGCAACTCCAAAGGCAACAAGACGGCATTATTACAAGTGTGCTTTTTGTATAGTTCATTTTTTTTCTATAATACCTGTCAAATTGTTGTAAAGTTGGCAAAATTAACAGGGAGTTTTGTTTTATCATGTTTTGAAATAGATATGTCACACTGACGTTTGAGCTTTCGTTATTCATAAAAAACGCTTTTACAATAAATATGTACTTCGTTAAAATCGTATTTATCTAAAAATTTATTAGTATTTTAACCGCAACTATTTAGTTATTGAAAATGTTACTGAAAATCAGGAAAACAACATAAATTTTATAAGGGTCCTAGATAATACCAACAGAAACCCTAAAAAATTTACATTGACAAGTATTATAGAAAAAAAGCGAACTATACTAAATAAGTGATGTCATGCACTGACAAGCTGTCAAACCGCCATTTTGACTTGGATAGTTCGAATACGCAGGAATCATGAACCGCGGTACTTTGATAATCTAGGGACTAATATACTTGTATAGTAGACGCCACGAGAGCTGGCAGTAAATCATCGTTTTCCGCTCTTACAAATGCCATATGTAGTTCGCAAACCGCTAGAGAGTAATGTGTGTTAGATTTAATATGTCTGCTGTACAATTCAAATGGCCACGTCGAAAAAGTACGTCTGTTCTTCTAAGGGATGTAACTTTATAATTATAACCTCAAATCGAAACATCTTGTGAGCGTTGTCATGAATCTGTTAGTGTTTTCACAAGTCGAAAATGTTTTCTTTGAAAGGAAAATCATTAAATAATATCTTTGACAATGTTTGACATATATAACCTCCATTACTAACATAACCTACATTTAAATGTATGTGGTGAAATAATCTAAGTCGTACATGCCTATCTTGATTCATACCATTTTTAAGCGATCTGTCACTGCCAGCTCTCGTGGTTTCTACTATAATGAACTAAAACTAGACCTACTAAAAAAATTCGGGACTTTCTAGTTCTAGCTTTACTTGTTATTCACCGCCAGATTGTTGTATATGTTAACACCAGAGTTAGAACTAGAAACTTTTGAGTTTAGCCGTCTTAAAAGACGCAGGGCTAAACCCAAATGTTTCTAGATCTAGTACGAGTTCTAGTAACAATGCTAGGTTATGCTAAATAGCATTAGATAGCGCTAGGTTGTTATATACTTTAAAGTCCCTAGATTTACAAAGTACCGCGGTTTGACGCCATTTTGGCTCGAAAGTCAAGCGGGAAATTTAAAACTACAAACCAAAACATTACGCCAAATTTCCTTTCTTTTTTTCTCGTGGTACTCTGAAGAGTCGAAAGTCCTTCTTACTATCATTTTTGCAACTCCAAAGGCAACAAGACGGCAATATTTTTGTAAATAATTGGTGAGATGCAGTGACAAGCTGTCAAACCGCCATTTTGGCTCGAAAACAGGCTTCATGAACCGCGGTACTTTGTAAATCTAGGGACTTTTATATACTTATAATGAATTAAAACTAGAACTAAGACTAGATCTAGAACTAGAAAAATTCGAGACTTTCTAGTTCTAGTTTAACTTGTTATTCACTCTGGTGAACTAACACCAGAGCAAGAATCAGAAACATTTAGGTTTAGCCGTCTTAAAAGACGCAACGCTAAACCCAAACGTTTCTAGTTCTAGATCTAGTATGAGTTCTTCTTCTGGGTTATACCAAATAGCATTAGATAGCGCTAGGTTATTATACAGGGTCGCTGATATGCATAGCTAGCAAAAAATCTTAAGATACAAAAGTTTTAGTGTTTTTTTTTTAAATCAATTACAATAAAGACAAATTAAGTATACAAGGTCAGTCAGAAAGTTATGACGAAACCAAGTTGTGTTTTCTTTAATGGAACAACTAATGTGTATATTATTCCATATTTCGGTTAATCTCGAAATTCAACCGCATTTTGACTCGAATACAGGCTTCATGAACCGCGGTACTTTGATAATCTAGAGACTTAGTTATCTTAGGTTCGCGTATAATCGCAGCAGTTTAGTAAATATCTCAGCATATCTAATCTGCGCTTAGTTGGTCAGCGGTTGTGAAATTCTAGGTTAGGATTAACAGTTTTTAGAAAAATTTCCTGTGAAGTTGGTACACAAGGGGACCTATTAAGAATATTTGTCACGAAGATCCACGACAGGAAAGATGGACTATCATGTCTGTTTTTTAATGTCTTATAGGGAGAACAGAAAACGAGGTTGAAAACGGAGGCGTAGAAGATAAATTTTGCAAAGACCAAGGATATGGTGACAAAAGTTTGGGATGACTGAACTTAACATCTAAGCTACTATGAAAAAACAAATTTAGACCTATACTACATCCATTGTTGTTTTGTACCCTACTATGGGTTGGTTGCCCACACTTTACGTCACACTATTTGCCACGCCCAGTTAACTGTCAATGAGTTCTATGCGTTTGCGCGTGTTTTTAGAGATTATAATATATGATAGACATTTGATTTACTTTTTAAGTTAATATGAATACGTCTATGATATAACCTCTAAAAATACACAGCAAACGCATAGAACACAATAACAGCTGACTGAGCGTAAATGGCATGTTGTCACAACTATGGATGTTAGCAGTCTTGTTAGATTCTACTATCTTTGGTCCTAACAAGATTTTAATTGGACTTATGGATCAGAAACTGGACCTCAGTGCAGAAAGGCTAGGAGGCATTTAGAAGAATATGAGAGTAATAGCTTGATAATACTAAATAAGCTTAAAGTAAATAATATAAGAAAACTAAGGTTGGTATTACACTATCATAGTTCTATTCTTTGATAAAAAATATTATAGTGTAATGTACCAAATGTTATAATAATCTAAATATGATCATATCTTCTCATCAACAAAACATTTTATATTTGGAACCAAAATGGATTCTGACAAGTTTCAATGGACAATAGCTGCCACGCAATTATTAATTTCCGACTATGAAGCGAATGAACTGTTGTACAATGTCCAAAATAATGAGCATAAAAACAGAAATAAAGAGTGTACTATAAACTGAAATAATTTGCTAAGAATCTATGTTGTACAATAAGGCTGGAAGACCTCTTTTCAAATGAATATTTTTCTTTGAAATCATTTTATATACTTTAGACATGTTTTGAGTCACTTTTCAGTTTTCTCAATAAATAATAATAATAATATAACCCAATCCACGCTAATTTTCCTTCTTTTTGCGTTACTTTTTCAACAATAAACATAATGTAATTATTAAACTCACAGTACTAAAAGCAAAAAAATACCAGCCCAAGGTACATCTACAGAATACTTCTTTGTTATTTTAGATGCCATTTTTGTTATAAACTCTACTCTTCTCTAGCAAATTTTCTCATCAAAAACTTTATTCGCCCACATATTTAGTATGTGGATAGTTTACACGCTACCGTAATTATATAGAGCTAATTTACTAGCAGCTTGTAAATTAGCTCTGTGTAATCGACCCTTAAACGTTGAGATGGATTGGCTATGTAGCCAGAATGAACATAAAAACTACTACAAGAATTACCTTCTAAATCATCGTGGACCTATTGATAGAAGATTGGTTGAGAGGTCGAAAAAACGATTTGTGGACGATCTAAGAAGGCAGAAGACATCAGACGCGGGAAGGATAATATTATGGCCCCTCTTTTCACTATGGCTTATCATGGACCACTGCAAGCCATTGGCAAAATTAATTTGCTTAATGGGAGTCATCATGCGCAGTTAACTGCATACACACAGTGGGCCATCAATGCTTAACCATCTAGACTATATGCCTGTGTGGAAGCAAACATGCTAGCCATCATCAATGGTGGCCCCATCATGAGCCAAAATGAAGAGGAGCCATTAAAGTAGACCAAGGATCACAAGCTGTAAAGTAATGGTATGGTTTTGGTCCCTACACATGTCTCTGATAATGCGTTTTAATTTTGCTATGTATATGATGGTTTTGGTCCAATATCCTGGATTTTTTGACAATGATTAAACTACACAAAATGTGTTATATAAGATCTTGTATATCTTGACTAATATAATATTATGTTAATTAAGCAGTAATGTATTGCAACATTACTCATACTTGTAGAATGTACATAACCTCAACTTACTCATAAAACATAGCTTTTAACAAAAACAAATATAATTGTATATTATATTTCTTTTTTTAATTTTGGAAAGTAATCTAATGAGGAATGAAAGAATTTTTTTCAATTAATATTATTTCATTACAATACTCGTACCTCTTTATCTTTAATTGTTTGTTTAGGTGTCTTCAATAATTCATTAACAACTTGTTCGGATTCAAATGTAATAAAGCAAAATCCTTTCCTTTGGTTTTTTGTCTTGTCAAAGGGCATTTCAACTTCGGTAATCTATTATTTTGAAATAAAACAAATTAATAATATAGTCATTTCAAATAATGGTTAAATTTACCTTTCCAAATTGTCCAAAATACTGTTTGATGTCGTCATCTGAAAGATCATTGGATAATCCGCCAACGAATATCTTGCCATGTCGCGCTTTCGCCTTCTTTGGATCAACTTTCCTGTTGTTGATAACGTGTTCGCCGGCCGCGACAACTTTATCTATCGCTTCCGCATTTGCAAAGACAATAAAAGCGAATCCTCGCGACCTGCCCGTATTCGGATCGGTTTTTACGTTGATACTTTCGATTTCGCCATAAGTGCTAAAGTATTCTCTAAGTTCCTCTAAAGGAAATTTGGAAAAAAATAGTAACAAGAAGAGAGAAGGGAAAGAAAAGAAAAAAAATTAGATTAACGTGAATAAAATTTCGTTTTTAAATTGATCTTACTGTCTGTTGTTTCCCAACTGAGGCCACCAACAAATAGTTTTCTGTGAACAAAACAAAGAGAAGAAACAATTAGCCATTTTTGGGGGCAGTTTAGTAACCACGTCTCCTAAGCGTTATTATTATTATATACTAAACAAATTCTTGTTATAAATCTGAGAACAATCTACTAACTTTTAATAGTAATAATATAATAATACAAGAGAAAGAGTCAAAAATAATAAAAAAAAATAATGGAAGGAAAAATGTTATTCATAGAGCAGCAAACAACAACAAAGTGAACTTGATCCGCGCGTTCAATCAAATGGATCTCTGCAAATCTATAAAATCTATAAAAACTGTAAGTTTAAAACGAATAAAAAAAAAGATTGGAATTATCTGCAAAAATTTTCAAAGCTTTTATCATGATGTTTCAGTTTTTAACTTTATATTATTTTTCTCTTTATGAATTCTCAATTAGAATAGCTAACTAGTAAAATAAATTTGCTTAAAAGAGAGTGTAACAAAATGGTTACTATTTATTTCTTATTTTAATAGCTTTATTTTCTGGCAGTGAGTGGCCTTTGCCCAAGGATAAATACCATGGGTGCAGGAAGATCCGCTCCAGTCGCCTTCTCCGTTCCACATTAGGTCATACACGGCTGAGACACCTGAAGGAAAGGAAGCATGGTTAATGCATATAATTCGCTTGTTAACCCTGCTAGCCTACACCGCTCACAATTTCTTTAGAGTGCAAGTAAAAAAACCGTTACTGATTTTTAATATTTATTGACTTTGAACAATTATTTTTGCTGAAATCAGAATAAACAAAGAAAAAAAAAGCTTTTCCGATTCCGTAGCCAATTTTTTATATCGATTTAGATTAATTTCAAATTAATAAATAAATCATGTTGTAGAAATCCTTTAAAACTGACCACGGTTTGGAAACCAATAACAAAATAGTAATAAATTTATTATTTAAGGTACAATTCCAAAATACGAGACATACTGCAAGCCTCAGGCGATAATACTGGTTTTGTCAATGTATTTGGTATTTTCAAAATAACTATTTAGCAAATTTTATATACAAAATCAGATGCTCCAAACTTATTATGCCAGTTTATATGTTGATTTAAAGGCTGGTCTGTGATAATAATCAAAATAAAATTGATTATAATGTGCAAAGAAAAGTTGGCAATGTTATGTTAAAAAAAAAACATGGAAGATATAGCTTAAACCCAATTTCTGTAACACTTTTGTCAGTGATAATTAAGTTTCAAGCCAAAGCTTCTCCATTCATGGAGCAATTTTTCAAAGAATCTGTGGTGACTCAAGTATTTCCATATGAATGGTGCAAAATGAAAACTAAAAGTGAAACAAGGAACTTTTTTTTAATTTGGTTTGGTGCATTCGAAGCTTTGACAAATTAGAAACTGAAAAAGCATCTAAAATTGACTTTTATATTGAAAATGTTCAATCAGTAGTGCCAATTTTCAGCTGTTTTAGCTAAAAAGTTGCGTAAAAAACATCTGTTTTTTTGCCAACCTTGCTTAATTTGCAAGTATTATTCTTAACAATTAAAAACCTTGCAACAACAAAGAGGCAGCTCCAAAAAAATATTAGCCATCAGTTGGTGCAATCTTGGTAGGTCAATATAGATCAATAAAGACAGTTTTGATAACTATTCACCTTCTACTAGTAATAAAGACGATTGCGAAAATGGAAAGAATGAACCAAATAACAAGTTAAAGTTGAGGTTGTGAAAAAAAAAATGTTTAAATGGCGAAAAAAGTACGTAAACAAAATGCCAATGTTAAAAATTAACCCAGAAATTCTCTACTTCTTTATAAATTCAAAACAAAAAGTGAGCAAACACGCATTTTGTGCATTTCAAGGAATATCCAGAAACAGAGTAGAAATTCTAGCTTCTCATATTGAAATAACCAAGTCATTATCTGCATCAACATTAATAAATAAACCAATTTCAAGAAAACGACGTCTAATAAGGAAAAGGACTATGCTATATCAAAACTTAGAGTAATATCTTACAGCAGTGAACTAGAAGAAAACCAATATCTGCTAATTTGGTGATTCTTAAGGATTTCCAAATAGTCAGAACTAATGAACAATTAAAATTTGAAACATTAAACAATGTAAAATTAGCAAATAAGTATGTACCCAAAAATGTTTTACAATTTTACAGATCTTTAAAATCTGATGATGTGGTGAAAATCATTAAGACATTGGTGTTTCAACATCTATAAAATACTAATAAAGTAATTTTTTGTAAATTGGTAGTAACAATGAGGTAGCTCTAATACACAATTATGAATAAACAAATTTGAATGTTGCTAAAAATGACTTTAGTCAGTGTGAAACTTTGATTATACCTAATAGAGAAAAAAACTAATTACTAAGGACTTAGGGTATTATTACAGAAAAGTTTTTTGTGCCTCCTAAACAATTTGTTAAAAAGTTTTGTTTTAAATTCACTTCTTTAGATTTTGAACTATGAACTATATCAAATAAGCCGTGAGGCACTGTATGTATCCCATAACATTAAAGGCGGTAAAATAGTGCAAAAATGTTGACAAAAAAAAGTATGTTAAAAAGTTAATGTCGTCTGTATCAACCAATAGTGTCGCCTGCAGTTGCAGTCTATATCAGGGAATTGTACCTTAAAAAAAATATCGTTAGTAATAATAATCTACACACAAATCTAGGAAAAACCAAATACCATAAATAAATTTCGATTATTAAACAATTTCCAACATTAAATTGAAACGGCATTTTCAAATTAGGCGCCAAAACGGAAACGCTTTTGGTATGGCCGCCATTTTGTTCATCAAGAGTCAACGAAGGACGCTTTACTTTAAAAGGAATGAAATTGTTGAAAAATAATACAAACCGTTCACAGATAACTTCTACAATGATTAAATCCGATCAAAAAATCAACGGGGGTTACCGAAAAAGCTACGATGTACCTGGATTACAAAAAATTCTTGACCGGTTATTATCAGACAAACAAACCAACATGATGCTTATATAAACACTTTTTAATCTCTTAATTTTAATTTATTTAAATAAGATATAAATGCATTAATCATACCTGTCGTCATCGCGTCCGGGTGCATCGGCACTTCCACTATCTGCAGGAGCGTCACCGCCGCCCCCAACGCCACCACTTCCACCGTTTTGTCCGTTTACTTGGTTATCGTTCTGTACGAAATTTTGATCTGTAGGTTTAACGTCCTGGGAGAAATCCTCACCGTTCTCCATCGGACAGTCTTGACTTGCCATTATTATTAATAATTAATTAATTAAAACTAATTCTACGTATTTTTTTTTTAAATTTCTTCTCTTAATTATTTAGAATAAATTTTTTTTTAACACCAACTCTATCACGTCCAAACAGGTCGAGAGTACGATGAGAAGAGAGCGCCGGAAGAGGAACGCTGGGGACCTCGCGCGCTTTGCATTCTGGGTAATTTGGGCGTGGGTCGATAACCAATCAAAACCCTTAAAACGATCACCTTTTTTGAGGTGGGAACCAGCGGGAAATTCAAAATCAAATCGACCGATTAAAAAAAAAAATAATATTCAAATAATTAATGTCAAAGTCATGATATAAATCAATTTTTTTTTAAAATAGTTATTTTTAACGGTTTCAGGAAGTTAGAATAAATTATAATTTAAAATGCCTTGCAAAGAAGTGAAATTGTTAAATATTTGGAGAATATGCAACAAAATCAGAGCCACCATTTTTCGGGTTGGGATCAATTTATGGGATTATTATCTTCCATTGGATCCCAATAAAAATTGCTTAATATCAGGTAATTTAAATAAATAATTATAAATATTTTAAATAAAAATAAAAACGACTATTGGTCAACAGATGGCGCTTTAATTTCAAATTTTTATTTATTTGTTTAAAGAATCCCAATTTGTAAGTGTTTTATCTGGACCATTACGTACAACAATTGGATTATCCGATGAAGAAATTAGCGAATTGGCCGAATATTTTAGAGTCCCCGATGGAAGGGTTTTCTACACGCAAATGTGCCAAGTTATTCACGATAGCGGTAAATTTACACAAAATTTTTGATACAATTCGCAAATAAATTATTTCTAGTTCCCGAATTCGCCAAAAATGGACCGTTAATAACCGGGTTAGAATGGGAAGATCCTTTACAAGTGAACCGATTGAGTACAACGGAAGAGAGACGATTAAGTTTATTAATAACAAAAATTGCGGCTTTGAGGAATTTAAGAAAGTTCGTTTTAAGACCTTATTTTCAAGATTACGAAATGGTAAGAATTAGGAAGTGTCTAGGTACACGTTAACGTGTACATAAATCAAAAAATTACGTTTAGCGTGCACATACGGAATATTTTCCGGTGCACGTTAAAACTTCATAATTTTGAGGTTGGTATTGTCGATCTAAATATTTTTCGGTGCACGTTAGAACTTTATAATTTTGATGTTGGTATTGTTGAATTTTCTCGGGAAAGCACAAGGTAATGTCACTCATTTAATAAAGTGATGTGTTACCCTGTTTCGAACAACGATACATATTTATTTGAACTAAAATTAGAACTAACACTAGAAACTTTCGGGTTTTGCCGTGCGTCTTTTAAGAAAAGATTTGACGTTTCGGATGCCATGTTGCATTCACTTCGAACCAGTTTCTGAAGAAGGTTGCAACATGGCATCCGAAACGTCAAACCTTTTCTTAAAAGACGCACGGCAAAACGCGAAAGTGTTAGTACTAGTTTTAGTTCTAATTTTAGTTCAATTAACACCGGCCGTGAAAACCTTCGTACTTATGATACATATTTAGTTGTTAAAAATTATTAAAAATGAAGTGTGGCCAACTATTTCATTCTTTTAACCTTTAGAGGACCGAGACCACCACTTAAGTGTGTCTATGTTATCAGTACTTTGTATATGATAAATATATCATATGAAGTCATTTTGTATCGATTTTCTTCAGACAATATGTTACCTAAAATCCCGGCCCGCTAAAGGTTAATGACTTCATTAAAAGTTTGAGACAATATGAAATAGAAAAAATACAAAAATATGTTATTAAATATTAAAGTAAATTAAACCAAAACCTTAAATATTATGAGGTTCAATACGTTTGCGTTCATGGTGGTATGGTAAGGGTCGTGGAAAAGTTTTACGTAAAACAAGGTATGTATAATAATTAAATAAAAATATGTATTTATCATATCGTCAACGGCGTTTGATATAACANGGAAAAAATTAAAAATGAAAAGGTTGCATCTATTAAAACAGTGCTAACTACAGAATACCGAATACATAAGCTCAGGGCCAAAGCATTTTTTGAACAGCTAAAAGAGAAACGGGACGGCCTTCTGACAATTTCTTTTGATTGTCAGAAAAACTTGGTATTGCCCAAAATACCAGATCAAAGTACCTATTATAGTAGACAACTGTACATTTACAACTTCACTACTGTAGTGGGGCACTCACATGCTCCGTTAACAAAAGATAATGTTAAAATTTTCACGTGGACTGAAGATGAACATGCCAAGGGCGCCAACGAAATCGCAAGCTGCGTCTTTTACACTTTAAACAATAGTAACTTAGAGGGAATAGATACACTTCGATTGGTCGCCGATGGATGCGGCGGCCAAAATAAAAATACCATTATGATATGTATGTTGTTCAAATGGCTAAGCAGTATAAGCAGTTCTATTAGAACAATCGAGCTGGTATTCCCAGTGGTTGGGCACTCCTACATTCCACCTGACAGGGTTTTTGCTACTATCGAAAAAGAAATAAGAAAGAAAGAAGAAATTGTAATGCCAGAAGAATACATAAATATTTTTCAAGAACATGCTACTGTTTTTAAACTTGGAAAAGATGTTCCCGATAGTGATTGGAAAGGTGCTGGTCAAAAAATCCTTAAGCCAGTGTCTCAGTGGCATTTTAAATTTAACCAATGTAAGAGATATATTATACGACGTGGCAACAAAAACGCCATCACCATTCGAGGTGAGTTATCTTACCGTTCAGACACCGGAACATTCAAAGGAGTTTTTAGGAAAAACCAAACCGCCATGAATATCCAGCCAAAAGAAATTCCTACCGGAGTGAAACCAAAAGATCTGAAAATGACAGATGTAAATAACTTGTTAAGCAAACATTATGGAAAGAACTGGAGAGCGGTAGAAAATTTGGCTTATTATAGAGATGTGTTGGGAAAATTTCAGAATAATAATATTCCTGGCGATTCTCGAGAAGACAGTGTGGACGAAGAGCCTAGTTTATGTGAATCAACCGAAAATATACCCTGATGTTACAGTTTAAGAGTTTTTTAAGTACAGTTTTTAAATAACATATCTTTCAAAAAATAAAGTTTCCTGTTATTAGCTACAAAGAGATTTAATTCACTTTCAATTCATGTTTAATCCATTTTGTTCAGATTCAAATGAGCCTTAATCCACAATTTGGTAGCAAACGCAACCAAACACCATTTTTAAATCCACTTTGTGATTTTTATATCTATTTCAAAAGACGTGGTTATAGAATTTTTGAAACTTCAGTAAGTCTTCTAATAACAAATAAATTATGTTTGAATTATTAACGCCAAAATCATCCCAAAATACTTTTTTGCCGTTTTCTCAAAATCGAAAAATTTGGATTTAAGGGTATTTGAAACCAAACAACTCAAGGGTCGTGGAAAAGGTTTACGTAAAACAAGGTATGTATAATAATTAAATAAAAATATGTATTTATTATATCGTCAACGGCGTTTGATATAACACAAATATTAAATATCCATTATTTATATGAATGTTTTAGTACTTTGATGAAGTGTCCTTATCTTAGCTATCATTAAAATTCGAGTTACTAAAGAAGGTGATTGCCTACAAATTAAACAATTATTAGAGAAACATGAAAATCATGATATGTCATCAATAAGTAAGCATGATTATGTATATTTCTTATATCTAACCATGTTGCTTATACACCCATCACTTTTAGGTGGTGTTTAATCATTTACCATCTAATCGAAAATTAACTTCTGATAAAAAATGTATGGTCGAGGGTTTGTTGGATGTTTGTGGAAATAAAAAGCTGATTCAGCAAGAAATATTGAATTTAACTGGAAAATTAAGTACATTAAAAGATTTATCAAATATTTCATATAGTATGAAAAACGTTAGCAACGATTTGATACATGCTGTGAAGGAATTGAAAGACGTTCACAGTGAGTATATAGATAACTATTAGAAGTATAACATAGAATAGTAACAATGCAATAAAATTATTATAAACCAAGGACAGTAGAATCTAACAGGACTGCTACATCCATTGTATTTTTGTAGTCCACTACGGGTTGGTTGCCCGCACTCTACGTCACACTATTTGCCACGCCTGGTAACTGTCTGTGTTTTTAGAGGTTATATGATAGACATTAATACGTCTAAAAACATAAAACTTCAAAAATAATATGAAGACGTCTAGGAAAAAACAGTAAACGCATAGACCATAACAATAGCTGGGCGTGGAAAATGGTGTGACGTAGTTTGCGGGCAGGTTGTCACAACAATGGATGTAGCAGTCCTTTGGTTATAAACCATAAACCACTTTTTTTGCATAATGTAACATATACATCTTACATGATTCTGAAAATCATTTTAAAGTCCTCTATTTTTCAACTGAGTCCATGAGAA